AGAATTGGGACTAATTGCATCCAGAGCTGACCAAAAAAACCCACCAAAACATCAAAATAGGCTCAAAGATAATTCTCCTCTTTTGGTCCTGTGTGAGTAGACAGAGGAGAAAAGGCCAGGGGCAATCCCTTGGAGGGCAGGGCTATGCTGGGGACGTGGTTTGGGCCCAAAAAGCAAAGCAGGGATTTTACAGATGGTCCTGCAACAGGAAAACCTTCACACTCACAACACACCAGACCCTGACAAAGCTGGAAGGACACTGAAGGAATCAGTGCTGACACTCAGGGAACATCCTGGTATTTACTAAAACATTGCTCAGAACCCACATCAAATAAGGGTCACCATAAGGGTTATTTGTTTCCAGGTGCTTTTGTACAAGTTAAAAATAAGCAAACAGTTCCATTTAAAATGTTCAGGCTTGGGTTTTCGTGTGTGTGGAGGACCTGGATTGCTCCCCACTCCTCAAGTTAGCACTGGGGAGGCTGGAGTGCACAGGAGCTGCTCTGCTGAGAATCTGTGAGAACCAAGTAAAGCCAGAGGAAAAAAACCCTCCAAATGCAACAGCAGAGGCCGGATATTGGAAATATGGCCATTTGGAGGAAGGGAGATGCACAAGGCCCATCCCAACTGACCCAGCAGAGGGTGAGGAGCATACCAGGGTTATTTTTAGTCTGTTTACAGTGAGCAGCGGCAGCACAGAGCCGGGCTCTGAAGGCAGAACCCCAGAGAACCCTGAGTCCCAGTGCTCCCACCGGCAGATCCCCCAGCCCTGGGAAGGTCTGGCAGGTTTGTGGCCTTTGCAGGGCCACCCTCCTGTTTGTTTGGGTCTGTCACGTAGCAACAAGGGGGAGAAAAACTCTTATTCCCTTTTTAAACAAACGTGATTGAACTCTTGGATGTTGTCAGCTGGGGCTCGGCAGCAGGGCTGGGCCTGGAGCTGCTGTGGGCTCCTCTCCTGCAGGAGCTGAGCTGCTCTCAAAGTCAAATTTCCCTGTTATCTTCTATTAAAAAGCTGCAGTAAAACCAAACCAAAGCAGCAGCAAGGCTGCCACGCCAAGCCCTCCTGCCTTATCCTGCTCAGAGCATCCCTCTGAGCAGGCAGGTGCACCACCTACCACGGTGATGCTGTGGACTCACAGCTGATCCCACCATGGCACAGACAGCAGGAGCAGACCCCCACCAGACACATCCACATCCTCCCTGGGGACTGGGCCAGGCTGAAGGACGTGGCAGGGAATGTGTGGAGGGGAGATGCACCAGCACGTGCAAGTTCCCAAGTGTGTATGAACCCCCCTCTCCTAAGAATTTACGGCTCACTACGTTAACACAGCAGCAAACCTTGTGCAGGCAGCAGCATCCATTTTATAAATTCCTTGGGGCTCATGAGTTAGAAGAGGCCCAGCAGCACAGCCACAATTAGCAAAGATGTATGGTCATCATTTTCCATTAAAAATACCTTCTAGTAATTATTGAGTAGGCTAAAAGTCCCAAGGAGACCTGGTTTCCCATGCAAGAAAGATCCTAAAAGATCAGGGAGCACGCTGGCACTTTTGGATGGGATTTTTCTTTGAAATTAACTTTGTAAAAACAACATGCTGAATCTGGAAAAAGCTCATTTCTGGTTTTATGGTATTTCAAGCCAGAAGGAGCCATTCCAACAGGAGTGGATGTCTTCCTCTGGGAGCCATCACAGCACACCTGAGCTGTGGGTGCTGTGGGCAGAAGAGCCCTGCCATGAAGGCAAGTTTGGGGCAGCATTTTTGGGAGGAAAAGGAAGAATTGTATGGAAAAAAGAATCACCACCAGCAGCTCCCCCACCAAGCAATGCCCAACACAGATGTACATGGCAAGGTCTACTTCGACTCCTCTCCCACCTGCTCCAGTTAAATCCAGACATTCCACTGCCTGCAACAGGGTTATGGCTCATTTTCCTCTCCATAGATTGGGTGGTCAGTAGGCCTTGTTTAAGGCTCTGTCTAAACCAGAACCCAACAAAATTCCTTCTGAGAACTCCTTGGGAAAGCACATGTCCTGTCTCCAAGTTTCTCAATGAACACAGTGTGGCACAAACCGGGTTCCTGCAGCCAGGGAACCCCCAGAGCCTCCGGCATGAGGGAGAACCTGGGAACCTTGTGGCACTGCCCCCCTCCTGCTCCCCCCTCGGACCAGCTAATCGGGGGAGTCACAGGGACCTGACAGGTGACAAATAGGATTGTTTACCTGGCAGGAGTGGGGACAGAGCAGAGCCAAGGGCAGCGAGCACCAAAGGAAAGAGGTGTGGGGGAGAGGGATGGACGGGAAGGATGTGCAGACAAACACCAGGCCTATCTTCGAGGGTCACAAAAGAGATGGATTAGGAGGAAAAAATGCAAGAAAGAAAGATAAACTGGAGGGGCAGTTGTGTTTGGATGGCATGTGGGAGCTGCAGGGAGGGAAGCAGAAGCCCAAGGCCAGGCAGAGGCAGGAGAGGGCATTTCTGGGATACAGGAGTGGAGGGGGTGTGAAGCAGAGGTGGGACATGAAGGGTGCCAGGCAGGCAGGACAGGGATGCACCATGGGACACCAGGGTAAGTGTCAGGTACAGGCTCTGGAGCAGCAGAGCTGGGGCAAGAACAGGGCAGCAACACAGTGCAGGCCATGCCAGAGTGAGGAGTGGCAGCAATCAGGGATGTCACACAGGTATGGGGTGCAGCACGACAGGAGCTACTCCCAGGGTGGAGCAGGATGGAAGCTGCTCCCAGGGAACAGATCACAGCCACCTCAGGGAAGGGCTAAGCTCTCTGGGGAGCAGGAACTGCAGCAGGAAGGGGGAAAGGCAGTGCCATGGCAGCACAGGGACAGAGGGGGAAAGCAGAGCACGCGTGGGTAGGAGTTGGTGGCAGCTCTGGGATGTCAAGGAGGGAGAAGGTCTGGGGTCAGCAAGCACAGATGCTCCATGGAGACAGGCCCAGCACACTACCCAGGGATTTACCTGGCAAGAGAAGGGTCAAACAGGCTGCCCAAGGGGTTAGGGAGCAGAAGCAAATGCTGGGTGAGGGCTGGAGTGGGAGACACAGGGACCAGGGGCTGTGTGCAGTGAGGGGAACCGTGGGACAGACCCAGGCCTGGCTCAGCCTGGCAGCATCACAGGGCTGGGGCTGGGCAGCACTGGGGGCTGTGAGGGGAAGGGGCTGGGATGGCTGGGGGGCTGTGAGGGGCTGAGCTGGGGCCAGGAGGGTGAGGGAGCTGTAGGGGTTCAGAAGGCTGCAAGGTCAGGGCTGGGAGGGGATGAAGACAAGGGGTAAGTGGTTATGGGGGGCCAGGGGGCCATAGGGCTGGAAGCCATGAGGGGGACGGAGTGAGGGACTGGGGAGGGCTGTGAGGGCTGAGCTGGGGCCAGGGGGCTCTGGGAAGTCAGGCCATGGGGACTGCAAGGGGTGAAGACGGGGCAAGTGGCCATGAAGGGCCAGGAGGCTGCAGGGCTGGGGGCAATGATGGACCAGGGCCTCCCTGTGAAGGGAATGGGGGATATGGGAGGGTTGGGGGGACTGTGGAGGGAAAGCAGGGGCCAGGGGACTATGGGGACTGCGAGGGGATGAAGGCAGGGGGTGAGTGGCTATGGGGGCCAGGGGGGATGAAACCAGGGACTGGAGAGGTGTGAGGGGCCAGGGTGGTGGGGCTGGGCCATGAGGGACATGGGAACTGGGCCTCTGAGGATGGAGCCAGGGCCTGGGGAACATAGGGTGGCTCTAAGGGGCCTGAGCCTGTGAGGGGGACGGAACCAGGAGCTGTGAAGGGCCAGAGCCGCGAGGCCGGGACCAGGAGGGACCTGAGTCTGCGAGGGGGCCGAAGCCAGGGCCTGGGGGAGGCCATGAGGGACCCGGGTCTGCGAGGGGACGGAACCAGGAGCTTCGGGCCATGAGGTGCCGGGGGGAGCCGTGAGTGAGGGGCCTGTCCCTGCGCGGGGCCTCACCCCGCCCCTCCCCGCTCCCCATCCCCCGCCGCCGCCGGCAGGGCCCACTGTCCCCTTCCCTGCCCGCCCCGTCCCGTCCCCTCGCAGCTCACCTCGCTGGTGCTGGCGGAGGAGGCAGCGCTGGGGGTCGGCGAGCGCTGCAGGGTGACCAGCGCCATGGCTGCGGCACCGGCCCCGGCCCGGCTCGGCTGAGCCTCCCCTCGCGCGGGAAGGGGCGGGGCCAAGGGGCGGGGCTTGATGCGGGGGGAGGGGCCTCCCGAGTGGGCGGGGCTCGATCCTGCCCCATCCCACCCCAAATCCCGCCCCATCCCACCCCACCGTCCCGTTCCACCCCCTGCCACGGGCAGGGACACCTTCCACTAGCCCAGCTTGCTCCAAGCCCCGTCCAACCTGGCCTTGGACACTTGCAGGGATGGGGCAGCCACAGCTTCTCTGGGCAACCTGTGCCAGGGCCTCACCACCCTCACAGTGGAGAATTTATTCCCCATATCCCACCTAACCCTGCCATCTGGCAGTAGGAAGGCATTCCCCCTTGTCCTGGTACTCCAGGCCCTTGTAAATAGTCTCTCTCCACATTTCTTTTTGACCCCCATCACGTACTGAAAAGCTGCAACTAGGTCACCCCAGCGCCTTCTCTTCTCCAGGCTGAATAATCTCAATTCCCTCTGTCTACCCAAAAATTGAGCCTGAAGCACCCAATTTTCCCAGATCCTGCAGGAATCTTGTGTTCAAGGAACAACTGGACTTAGCACTTTGACTGACAACATGGTGATCAGTCAAAGGTTCGACTCGACAATCTCAGAGGTCTTTCCCAGCCTCAGTGATTCTGTGATTCTGCGAATGCAGAGGCTGGGAAGTCATTGAATCACTGTGGTTGGAAAAGACCTCCAGGATCATGCCCACTAAGGCAATGCCGGTATCCCGATCCAGCAGTCACCATGGTGACCAGTGTCAGGGATGTTGTTCTGCCACCCGTGGTGGTGACCCCGTTCCCCATTGCTCTGGGGCCGGCTGCCAGCAGCACGTGGGAAGTCCACCTCCCCCAGGCTGGAGCAGACTTTGGCCCTGCTGCCCTGGGCACTTAGACTTTGCCTTGCTGGACTGTAAACGAGCCACTCTGAACCCTGTGGAAGCCTCTGACACTTGCAGTGACTCCTCTGACGACTCCCCACTCCACAGGTAAACTGGTGCAAAACCTGTATTCCTGTTGTTTTTTGGCCAGTGAGGTGGATCCTCCTCGGCTGGAGCTGTGGGGGCAGTGGGGGAGAGTCCCCATGGCTGCAGGTGGGGGAGGTGACCCCGGTTCTGTGGGTTTTGGTTCCTGGGGGTTGTAACACCACGGCAGATGGGAAGCAGCTCCCGCGGTGCCGCCGTTCCGGTGACTCATCCCTCCATCCCAGCAAATGTCAGTCCCGCTGTGGGCAGCCTTTCCAGCAGAGATGCTGCGCTTCACCTTGTCCAAATAAAACTGTGGGCTGGAGTTTATTCCTGCTCCCAGAACCAGGCCTGGGGTGCAGCCGGCACATCCTCCCCTGCCCATGCCATGGGATCTGACCCAGCCCTTCCCCAAATTGGTCCCTGTCCACTCCCTGCCCAGGGAGTGACCACAGGGATTTTCCAAGGCGGAAAAGCTCTGCTGAGAGGGAATCAGGGGACTGAGGAGGCTGCAGACCCTCTTTGCAGCTGCAATTTCCCGACAGCATTTTCAGCCATGCCAGGAAGGGTTTGGGGTGGTGGCACAGCCACCCTCGTGCAGCCCCAGGGGTGACAGCGGTGTGAGGATCCAACCTTGAACTTATTACACCTGGCATTACTCCCTGGAAAACATCCAGTGCTCCCTATGTCTTTTATCCATGCCCACCTCTTGCCTCTAGCCTGTGCTCAGGGCTGGGAAGGATTGGGAGCTGCCCAGAGTAGGACTGGGTCGATGGGAATGGAGGGCTCACACCATCCCATGGCAGACAGTGTGAGTGCTCCCACCTCTCCCTGGCTGGTGGGAGAAAGAGGAGGATGCTGAGGGCTGTGCTGCTCTGTCCCGAGGTGCCACAGGGCAGGAAGCACCTGGAGCTCTTTCTCCCAGGTGAGGAATGTGGCCGTGGGCAGCTGAGCCACTGGTAGAGCCAGGGGTGGAGAGAGGGTTCCCCAGTCCCCATGGGGAACTACACCCCCTCATCCATGATTGATTCCTGTGCCTGGTCAGCACAGGCAGGGGTGGAGGAGGAACTGGGAACCTTTACAAGGAACGCACAGAGATGCACCATGAGGACCATGGTGTGACTCTTGAGGATGGTCCTGTGCAGGGCTAAGGGTTGGACTGGTTGATTCTTGTGGGTCCCTTCCAGCTCAGCACATTCTGTGAGTCTGTGAGTCTGTGACCTCAGCCCTTCCCTGCTGCTCAGGCGGTGGAGCCGAGGCCGGGTGGGGTCCTGGGGAGCTGCTTCTCTCCCTCCTGGGCAGCCCCAGGTGGTCCAGCAGCCTCTGTCCCCGCAGGGAGCCAGAGCCATGCGTGTGGTTGTCATCGGGGCCGGGGTCATCGGGCTCTCCAGCGCCCTGTGCATCCACGAGCAGTTCCACGGGCTGGTGCCCTCCCTGGAGCTGGAGCTCTACGCCGACTGCTTCACCCCCCACACCACCAGCGACGGCGCGGCCGGGCTCTGGCAGCCCTACCTGAGCGACCTCGGCAACCTGCAGGAGACGTGAGGGACAGGAGGAGGAGGAGGCTGGAGTTGTGTCCTCCCAGGTGTGCCCGGGCACAGCTCCGTGGGGCTGGCAGAGCCATCACTCCCCTGTTCTCATCGCAGGCTCTGGAATAAAGAGACGTTCGATTACCTCCTCGGGCACCTGCACTCCCCAGCAGCCCAGGAAATGGGACTTTTCCTGCTTTCTGGCTACAACCTGTTCACTGAGCCGGTGCCGGTAAGGAGCAAGTTCCAACAGGGCTGGGAAAGGCTCCAGCTCCTCCCGGAGGGCGGGCAGGGCTGTGCCTCTTCCCAGCCAATGCTCCCGAATCCTTCCAAGTTTGCTTTGTGCCAGTGCCTGGGACACGATGTTTTCTGTGCCATCCCGGTGTGAGGAAGGGCCGAGGGAGCAGCAGAGCCTCTCCAGCCCTGGTTGGCAGCTGCCTCCCCATCTTTGTCCCTCTGGGATAGGTTGTGTCCCTTTTCCCCCCTTCTGTCCCATGCTGACATGGTGATCCAGGTTCACTAATGATGTCAGAGCTTTTCCCTACTGTAGGACCCATCTTGGAAGAACATTGTCCTGGGATTCAGGAACTTGACACCAAAAGAACTCGAACTCTTCCCTGGTTACAGGTATTTTTCAGTCTGTTCTCTGCAGACTCAGGCAGGGCAGGTGTGGCTGGACAGCTCCCTGGCATGGGGCAGTGGGGACAAGAAACTGCCAGTGCAGAAGTGTCCTCGCTTTCCTACAGCTGCTTCCCTTCAAATAAATAGGAAACACCTCAAATGGCCAAAAAAGCAGCAGCCCAGCATGGAAACCATACCAGCTGCTTTCTTACCTCATCAGATAGTGTCAAAATAAAAATCAGTATAAGGTGTTTTATGCTGTAAACGGGGGGGAGGAGTGGGGGAAATTCATGCACTTGTTGTGCAAGGGGAAATTGGGGTGTCAGGGGGAATTGGGGCCCCAGATCCAAGTGGCTGTTGGGAGCACCGGGGCAGGAGGCTCCTGTGAAGGTGCTGCAGGTCCTCACACCTCCTGTCTTCTGGTTTCAGCTACGGCTGGTTCAACACGGCACTGATGCTGGAGGGCAGGAGTTACCTGCCCTGGCTCACCAACAGGTGAGTGCATTCCTGCTTGTTGCCCCAGTGGGGTAACACCTTCCTCACTTTAATAATGAGCCCAGGGGTGTATTTTTGCATGAGAAAAATGAAAGTAATGTGACACTTGGAGCTGCATCCAAGAGCTTTTGGCTATGGGAATATTTGGGCTTGATTTCATTCCTGTAATTCTAACACTGAGTGGGTGCCCTGGCACTGAATGATACATTTGCTTTTAATTTGCCAGTAACAAATGAATTTGTTCTTCCCAGGCTGACACAGAGAGGAGTGAAGTTTTTCCATAAGAAGGTTGAGTCTTTCCAGGAGGTGGGTGGGGATGTGGAGGCAGGGCAGGGGGCACAGCCCTGTCTCGGTGTGGAGAAGCATCATCCAGCAGGCATGTCCTGCTCTGGTATGTCCTTGGCATCAGTGATGGGCCAGGGGACAGGGGCAAGGCTGTGCCAAGACTTTCTACCAGGAAGGATAAAGGGGCTTGGGCATCAAGAGGTGGCAGAGAGGGTATGGGTAAAGCATTAGTCCAGCATGGATTGGCAGCCTTCCCTGGAATGGCTTCCCAGCACACATGGGGTCTCAGCAGGAGCCATGGTGGGGAAGCTGTGCCCTGGATCCAGCCCTTATGGTTTATCCATTACCAGATGCTGGACTGAGCACTCAGCTCCTTTTGGAGAAGGAATGTTGTGCCCTGAGGGCAGCACCCTGTGTGCTGCTCCCAGCTGTGTCCATGTGCTGCTCCCCACCCGTGTCCATCTCTCCCCAGCTGTTCTCCCAGGGTGTGGATGTGGTGATAAACTGCACTGGGATGCGCTCGGGGGAGCTGCAGCGGGACCCGGAGCTCCAGCCTGGCCGGGGTCAGATCATAAAGGTGAGGTGGGTGTAGGGCTTGGGGCTTCCCAAAATCCCACTTCTTACCGTGAGGAAAACCTGTGTCCTCTGGGGCAAACCACGGGCTTGTGGGCTGGATCTGCACTGGGATCAGGTCCTGATTTCCAGCAAACACTGGTCATGTGAAACCCACCTGGATCCCATTCCTGGTTCAGTTGTGGGAAAGCCCTCAATCTCCAGCCTGTTTCTCTGTTGGGTGAGCGTGGGGGGAGGTCAAAAGCATAGGGCTATTAATAATAAAACAACATAAAATCCTTGGGAGTAGAGGATGATTATTTGGGCAAACAGGCTCATGCCAGTAGGAAGCTCCTCCTCTTCCCTGCCTGCATTCCCATCCACCTGTCTTCTCAGGGAACATAGAGCTTGAGCAGAGGGTCCCACATCTGGCCCCTGGTGTCCCTCCCACTGCCCCCCGAGCCTGGCACCCCACTCTCCATCTCCCCCTGACCTTCTCCCCTGGTCTGCCAGGTCCTGGCCCCCTGGGTGAAGCATTTCATCATCACTCACGACATGAAGTCTGGGATCTACAAGTCTCCCTACGTCATCCCAGGGTAGGTGACAGCAGCCCAGGAGGGCCTGGCTGGTGCTGGTGACATTCCACTGTCAGTGTCCCCAGAGTCCTGGCTCGGACGCGGCTCCTGCTGGCACCTGCCAGGGCCTGGGGTCACCCCTGCCTGCTGGTGCTTTTCCTGGCTGAGTGGGAGAGGAGCAGAAGGATGTGGGCAGCAAAGTGAGGGAGCTCCCAGAGCCTCAGGACTTCAATGTCCCATCCTTTTCCAAGGAGCAAATCCCACCAAAGCAAAAAGTCAGTCCTGGCCAGGTCCTCAATAGGGCCAGACACTCGTAGTGTAGTGGATATTTTGGGGGAGGCCTTTTGTTTTTGCATTTGTACCCACCTGTTTTATCAATGATGTTGGAAGGCACTGCTGATCCCTGCTTCCATAAAACCAGGGTAGGAATCCTTCTACTTTAATAAAACCTCCCCTGGAAATCTCAGCCTTCCCCTCACTGGCCTCTGAGCTGTGCCTGAGCTCTTGGTGAGCCTGGGGGCATCCCGCTGGATCATGGAATGTCCTGAGTGGGAAGGGACCACAAGGATCATCCAGTCCAATTCCTGGCCCTGCCCAGGACACCCCAACAATCCCACCCTGTCCCTGAGAGCATTGTCCAAATGCTCCTTGAGCTCTGGCAGCCTTGGGGCCCTGACCACTGCCCTGGGGAGCCTGTTCGGTGCCCAACCACCCTCTGGGGGAAGAACCTTTTCCTGAGATCCAACCTAAACCTCCCCTGACACAGCTCCAGCCCTTCCCTCTGGTCCTGTCACTGGTCACAGAGAGCAGAGATTGGAGCTGCCCCTCTTGGGGGAGTTATGGATTGGGATAAATCTCCCCTTAGTCTCCAGGGCTCCCTGCCACCTCCCTGCCAGACTGTGGAGGAATTGCAGGGGAAAATCTTATGTCCGTGTCCCCCTAGGGCTGAAATGAGATCCTGGCCCCAAAAGCACCATGTCCAGAGCTCAGAGAGTGGCTGTGGCCAGGCAGAGCCCAGCTTCCAGCACTTTTCCTGCACTTCCCACCTGCTTCCCACCAGCAGCCTGCTCAGGGAAGTTGGGATCTATTTGAGGCAGCAGCATTTGCTGTGCCCAGGGAGCTGCACTGCAGGATAAATAAACACATCTGCTGTTCATCCCAGCTTTGCTTCCTCCTGAGGGCAGGCAAAGACCCCACTCTGGCAATGGAGAAGGGTTTTTTAAGCTGGAACTCCAATGCTGCATCTCTGGCACTTCCTATTGTCCCAGTATTCCAGGATTAGGCAATAAGCCAGGTTGTAAATGGAGCTTTGCTTGCTCACAGCCCCCAAGCATCGTATTCTGAGTGATTTCTGATTACAGTCCCAGACAGATTCCTCTCCCTGTGTTTGTTTTAGCTCAAGCTCTCAGAGCAGCACCAGGCTGATCCCTAAAGAAGACAGATCCTCTTCCCTGCTGGAGAGCTTGGCCATGAGAGGATTCCTTCCACGTGCCCCAGCCCTTTTTTTTTTGTGTTTCCCAGGGATCATACAAGGTTTTGGAAGGGTCCAGCCATCATAGAACACCCCACCTCCCCTAGCCTTAATCTGCCTCTTTTCCTCTGCTAATCCAGGGGAGTTTTTGGCAGCAGCAGCACCAGTCTGCTTCTCTGTGCTTCCCTCCAGAGGCATCCCATTCTTTCCAGCTCTTCCCCAGGCAGGCAGGAGCAGACCTGTTTGATAAGGATGGAATTATCTGTCTGGTTTGCCCAGACAAGGAAGGGCCTTTTGGGTGCTGATAGGATTTAATGAGTGACTTGCTCCTGAGCTGAGCAGGCACTGCTCTCCACCTGCTCCATGTGGGAGTTTCTCCAGCAGGAACATGTTGCAGGCTCAGAATGTATCAGGATCCAACACCACACACACACAGAGTCCCTCCATGAGGTGACCCCACAAGGGACAGCTGGAGACACTCACCCTGTGTGTCCTTTGGGTGCAGGAGCGAGTTCACGGTCCTGGGAGGGATTTACCAGCATGGAAACTGGAGTGAGGAGAACAGTGCCCAGGACCATAAAACCATCTGGGAGAGCTGCTGCCGCCTGCTCCCAGCTCTCCAGGTGGGTGACCTGACCCAACACCCACTGGGATGGGGCACAGGGAGCTGGGGAGCTCAGGGATGTGGGAATAGGCACTGGAACAAACCACAGAACCTCGGTGTTTCCATGAGTCTGTGATACCCAGGGCTCTTCCACCCGGCTGGTGGACAGGCAGGGACAAGGTTTGTAGGAAAAATAATTCTTCCTAGAACTGGTAAAAAAGTAGAACTAAAGCTCTGGGAGGTCCCAGGTTGTAGTGTCTCCACAGCTTTAGAGCAGGGCTGGTGTGGGGTGAGGCTGGTGTGTGTCCACCCCCAGTGCTGCTGTTGTGCCCTGGATCAGCAGGAAAGGCAGCACAGGGGTTTGCCTCACCTGCTCCACACAGGCTGCTGCTGAGCAGCTGTAATCCCAAATTGTTCTGCCTGGTCACCCCTTGCAGCACCCCAGGAGCTGCTGCAGGACTGGGGACCACCTGTCCCTGCTCTTCCCACAGATCACCTGAAGCCGTGGGGTTTGGCTGCTGTAATTCCAGGGGTGCTGTAATTCCAAGGAATGCTGTGCAAATGCTGATGTACTTTTGCTTCCAGAAAGCAAAGATCATCAGTGAGTGGAGTGGCCTGAGACCGTCACGGCCCCAGGTTCGCCTGGAGCGGGAGAGCATCCGGCACGGGAATGTCCAGGGAGAGGTACGTGCACAGCCCCGGGGGCTGAGTGCAATTAGTGACTGTGTTAATTGTGCTCCAGTCCCCATGACCTTGACAATGAAACACCAACCCCCTGCTGTGCCCCCAGCCTGCCCTGCCGTCCTTGGCCTTTGCTGTGGCCCCACCAACAGCCAGGGAATCTTTGATTCCATTCCAGCCCAGTGTCAGAGAGAAATGTCAGAGACACAGAAACACGATACTGATGTGGCTGCCCCGCCCATGGAAGTGTTCAGGGCCAGGTTGGACAGGGCTTGGAGCAACCTGGGCTAGTGGAAGGTGTCCCTGCCCATGGCAAGGGTTGGAACTGGCTGGGCTTTAAGGTCCCTTCCAACCCAAACCATTCCATGACTGTGATTCTCCCTCAGGTGATCCACAACTACGGCCACAGCGGGTTTGGGATCACCATCCACTGGGGCTGTGCCATGGCAGCAGCCCGGCTCTTTGGGAGCATCCTTCAGGAGAGGAGGAAGGTGGCCAGTTCACCACAGCCCCGCTTGTGAGTGCCTGCTCACCTGGATCATCCCAACAGCAGTAGCTTAGAAATCACACAGAACGATGGGAATAGCACAGGGATACATGTGGGTGCTTGACCCTCCACAGCTCCAGCTCTGGGCCACAGTGCCTCACTGCCCTTATCCAGACAGCTCAGCTCCCTGCACAACCTGCCCAAGGAAGGGCTTTAAAATCTGGACTAATTACCCATGGCAAAGCGCAGTCCTGTCTGGGATCAGCCTGCAAAGGGCAGGCAGGGTTCAGCTGAAACCCTGACAGCCCTGCAGTTCATCTGCACATGGGACAGGATCTGAAACCAAGCCGGTGCCACCTGAGGTCTCCCCTGGTGCTCCAACACCCAGCGTGTAATTAGATTTCCAGGCTCCCCCCAGGAGGCAAAAGCTCCTTAGTAGGAAGAAGCTCTGAGGCTCCCAGGGAAGTAACAACAGCTCTGGGAGCACGTGCCTGGGTTCCACCAGCTTTCCTCCCATTCCTGCCAGGACAAAGCCCAGGGCTGCAGCACCTGGTTAGTGTAGCTGGGAACAGACAGCAGCACTTGCCTAAAATGGGCCTTCCAAAGGATGTTTTAGCAACAAAAGCAACTTGTTCCAGCCCTGGACTTGCCAGGTTCTATATATAGCAGAGAGCAAAATAGCTCTTCTTGTCCCTAAAACTCCCATGGGCCCCTCAGTTTCCCATTTCTCCCAGCTGTGGGACGTGGCTGGGACACAGCTCGGAGAACAGGGCTGGCTCGGGGCAGGTTGTGCTTCCCAGAGGAGTTGGGGCAGCTCCCAGGAGGGCAGGATTGTTTGGGGTGGTCAGGGATGCTCCTGGGGATCCAACACACTGTTCTGAAGGTACAGCCTGGCTGATTTTTCAGTGCCATGTGTCTTTCCTGCTCTGCAAGCCATCCCAGGCAGGGCACTGGCTGGTCAGGAAGCATTACCCTCAAATCCGAAGGCTGTCCTGAGCCCAGCACAGTGCCTGACTCACTCTCCTCCACGGATAAGCCAACTGTTCCTTACTCAACCGTGATGCAGCTCCTCTCTCCCTATGACTCCATGTGCCAGGAATAGCTCCTCAGCCTGGGCTGTGCTGCACCTTGGGAACGGGAGATGCTGCAAATCAGCAGCATTACAAGGGAATTCTCATGCCTGTGGAACTCCAGCCCAAGGAAAAGACTCACTGTTGAAGGCACAGTGAGAGCAGAATTGAAGTTCCTCTGGCTGTGATTTTGGCCCAGTGCTGGTGCTCCTCACATCCCTGAGAAATATAAAACTTGCAATGGTATCCGGGGTTTGGGCTTCCTGGCTGCAGGACATCATCCCTTTGGCTGTGCTGACAGCTGTAAGGGAGGTGAGACAGTGTCCAGAGAAGGGAAGGGTCCAGAAATTGGGAGCCACTGTCAGTGGCAGTCTGTCCACCCTCTGGCAGCTCACCTGAGATGCTGCAGCCTCAGGGTAAAATCGGGAGTAGGGCAGGAAAATGAAAACCAGAACTGGAGAAAATTCACCACCAAGTAATGCTGAACCCAGTGGCCTGTGATCCCACCTCAGGAGAAGCCACTCAGAGGAACTGAATCCCTTTGATTTCACTTATTCCAAATATGAGACAGTCAGGACCACATTCTCATCTGCTGTAAATCCAAACTGTGTGATCTCAGAAAAGCTACACTGGAAGAGCAGGGGAGCAGGAAATCACTGTATACCTTCAATGAGCAGCTGATCCTTCTGGTCTCAGAGCTTACAGGAGCCAGTGTCCTGTGATCTCACATGGCCTCTCAGGAAACAGGAATGATTTGATCTGTAATTTTATTTACAGGCTAATTTTGTTTGCTCTCTAAAGGCACAATTTCATATTTGTGAACAATAAAGGATATATTCAAACATCTCGCACGTGATGCTTTTTCTTCCTAATGATGGCACAGGCAGGGCCTTCAATGCTAACTCCACAGAAACATCCCAATAGATCATCACTCCACATCTTGACACACATTTTTCCTGAACATTTCATGTTGCGGGAGGAAGAGTCATTATTCCACATTCCGAGCAGACAGTGAACCTGAAACATCACTGTGGGAAGGTCTGTGGTGGCTGTCAGTCCTCAGGGCATCAAGAACTCACTGAAATCATGGAATGGTTTGGATTGGAAGAGACCTTGAAGATCACCCAGTGCCACCCCTGCTATGGGCAGGGACACCTTCCACTGTCCCAGGTTGCTCCAAGCCCCGTCCAGCCTGGTCTTGGACACTTCCAGGGATGGGGCAGCCACAGCTTCTCTGGGCAACCTGTGCCAGGGCCTCACCAACATGTGATTGAAGTTCACTCTTGAGGTCAGGGGAGGTGAGGGAGTCAGGGAATGATGCCTGGAGAATTCCTGCATGTCCTTTCCTGACACACACAAAACCACCAAACAACATCCCGTCTCTGGCATCAGAACATTTCAGGAACTCCCAGTTCTCCACAAGGATCTCCTGTGACCCAGAACAAAGCTGGAAACACATCAAGTATCATGAAAGTTTCCCTCTGTGAGGCAACAGCAGCTCTGGCATTTGGGATAACTCCTGCCAGAGCTCTGGGGCAACACTCTCAGGGACATGGTGGGATCCTTGGAGTGTCCTGTGCAGGGCCAGGGGTTGGACTGGATGATCCTCGTGGGTCCTTCTGAACTCAGAATGTTCTGTGATTCTGAGAATGAACTTTAGAAATGCCTCAGGATGCCAAAAAGTAGCCACAGAAGAGCATTGCTTCAGGCACACCAACCATTCCATAGCTCCCAACTATTTCCATTCCTGGAAATAAGACTGCCCATCCCAGTGGCTGCACAAGCTGGGAGAGGGAAGATTGATGCATCTGGGATGAGAACACCCTGATTAGCACATGAAGGATTTGCAGCTCATTAGTCATTTTGACTCACACTTGAACAACCTCATGTTTGTAAAATTCTTAGACATCAAAATAAGAGTATCAGTTACAGAGGAATAGTCAGGGCTGGGCACTTCATTAGGTTTTAGAAAAACCAGAGCTAAATGAAAGGTTTCTATTAAAAAGTAAATAGAAGAAAATCTGCCTGCCCTGAAGCCCAGATATATGTGGAGCTACCTGCTCCCAGCACACCCAGGCAAGAGGCCAAACTGCTGGGGTTTAGCGTCCAAACTGAATTAAAATATGAAAATCAACTAAAGATTTAAGATAATCTAAAAAGTCATAGAATCTTGGAATGGTTTGGGTTGGAAAGGGCCTTGAAGATCATCCAGTTCCAACCCCCTGCCATGGGCAGGGACACCAGTTTGCTTCAAACCCCATCCAACCAGGCCTTGGACACTTCCAGGGATGGAATATCCACAATATTTAGCTGTGGTGAGGTTACTTACAATGAGAACAGGAATCCTGGACTTTTCATTATAACCAAATACAAAAAGACACACAGAAAACAAGTCAGATCTGCAAAGTGCTGAGCCCACGCTGTGTCTCAAACCTCTGAACACCAAAACAAAAACACAAGGGAAAGTTATGACCCCTCCTAAACATCCCCCAGAACAGCCAAAACTTCTTTACTGAAAAAACTATTTATTTGTTTAACATAAAATATCTAATGTGGACTTCAACCATCCAGGACCAGGAACCAAAGAAGTATTTTACAACAAGCTTGATATACACCAAGTTTTTCAACATTAAAACGTAAATCCAGCTTAGAAACTGTACATTCAGACACAGGAAACATTCAATGCTCTTTCGGCAAGAAGTTTGGAATAACAAATCATTCCATCAAAGCTCACTTGGAGAATTCTTTTCCCACGCCAGCTTGGCACGTTCATGACTTGGACAGTTGGCAAATCTGAATCCCAAAATTCTGTCTGAATTCCAAGTGATCTCACTGAACAGTTTGAAATGAAGCAGTTACAGGAATTCCTTCATCAGTGAAAAATACTCAGTGTGGAAAACAATCTTTGGAAGCTGATTTTTTACATAAATGGTGCTGCCTTATTGACAAAATTGATTTGTGGTTATTTAGAGGTGTTGTGTGTCCACCCAAATGGTCTCAGTTTTACAGTGGACAAGCTCAAATGTCCTTCTGTTCTTAATTATATGCAAATACCTGCAAATCCTGAATTTCAGCTCTGTTTCTCTGGTGGAATTCAGAGGATCAGCTGTAGTGGGCTCCTGTTTCCTTCTACTCAGCTCATCCAGAGGCCACAGATATGCACAGGAGTTCTCCCAGACTTCAGTGAGCTTCGGATCAAGCTTTAGGCATCACTTAAATCAAAGACCCAGGAGGACCAACCGTGGTATTTATATCATTAAACACATTTTTAGTGCAGAATTCGTAAAAGGTGAAAAGCAAAAATGCCTTTAACTGTTGTTTTTTCACACTGTAAATGTCATAGGCTAAAAGTGACCTATTCAACAGCATCAAAAGTTTGCATTCCCTATAAATCTTTAATGATAAATAGTTTATCTGTAGGATCCAGGTGTGCATGAACAGATACATTTTCCCTAAAACTCTCTGAAGGCCATTGCAATTCTTCAAAACTGTTGAATAGTGGCCTAAGAACTGAAGTGAAACGTGACCATCAACATGGAAAAGCAGCATTTTAACTAAAGGTAATTAATAACTCCTGGGCTGGAAGGTGGGTTCCTGCAGCCAGGGCTGTCCTGGACTTGGATTCTGTCACCTCTAACCAGGCTCAGCTCCAGAGGCCCCCCCTTTCTGGGGTTCACACCCACTGGGAATAGCTCAGGGCAATCCCACAAGGAGAGGGGCACAGGAGCACCTGGGAGAGTGACCCAACCCCAGCCTGGCAGAAGGGGGTGAACACAAAGGAGTTGTGGGTGTTGCCAGTGCCATGAGACCCCTTCTGTTTACTGGGATCAACTGGAGCCTGAGCTCACAGGACACAGGGATAGTGGGGACAGAGAGAACCAACCCCGTTGGAACAGACAGCAGGATCTATGCCATCACCCACACCTGATCCAGGGATCCCAGGGATCCCCTGGGAGATGAATTCATTTCTGTGTAGCTGGGAAAAGCCAACTTTGCCTGTTTACACCAACCACTCCTGGAATCTTCCACTGAGCCATCAGTGGGGACTGGATGGACACTCTGGTGCCTTGGCAAACTGTGCCTGTTCCCAGAGAACACCCCCACACACACAACACCAACAACCTCTTTGGCCTTCTTCCTTAGCCTGAGTTTCCTCAGTTTTTTTAAGGAATTATCCACTTCTGTTTTCCCTCCAGTCTCTGAACAATGAGCCTGATGTGTGGTGGAGCATCACACAGTGCTGGGAGACCCCCAGTGACAGCTGAGCCCAACAGGGTTCACTTGTACTGCCCCCAAACAGGGGCTCAGTGACCTATTCCTGCCCCCAGGAACAGGACCTGCTTCCCAGGACACCTAAAATATTCAACTGTGCAAAAATGTGCTGCACACTTACCTGTGTTTATGTGAGACACCTGATCAGACAGACTATGAAAACACATCCCAGGATGAGCACAGACTCCATGTCCCTCACATTTGGTTGTGTTCCATAATTTGGAATCCTGAAAATACACTGGGAAATGGAGGAGGCACATCTCAGATCCTCACACATTCCCATAGGCTCTGCAATGGGATTTCCTGCCCAGTGACAGATTTCTGAGCTTGTCTTCACCTGAACTCCATGACATTCCCTGACAAGAGCAGCACCATCACCTCGAGGAGCCACACCTGAGGGAGGGATGTTCCTCATCCAGGGGTCATTGCAGTTTGGCTCTTCCTGTGACTTTTGCTCCTTTTATGTCACAATTCCAGCTACATTCCTTTGTCACCAGTCAATGTACAATCAGCAGCTCTGGAGAAGTCCTGCCCAGCTGTAAGGAGGCCAGCATTTTTTGGGAGACACTTGGAAGCAGCTCCATCCCAACAGCAGCTCTTCCAACTCAGATACTGGCTACACTGTGGGAAGGTGCTCAGGTAAATGGAGCAGGGACACACCTGGATCCATGGACAGAACCGCAGCAGTGAGCACCTCCCCACACCAAGCAAGACAGAGAGTTCAAGGTTTCTAGCAATGTCAGAGAACTCAAATTCTCCTACAAACCATGAGGATTTAAAAGCTGGACTTGATGATCTTGGAGGTCTTTTCCAACCTTAATGATTCTATGATTTATATTTGTGATATAAGGTTTCAGCTCTGCAGCAAATACCACCCTCAGGGCTCCAATTACCTGCTGGGATGGGAGAAACATTCAGGAATTCATTTCCATGCAATCCTTCCCAGTTAAATCTCCAGGAACAGAACCCACAACCAGGGGAACTGCAAAGGTTGGTTTGCCAGAACCACATTTTGTGTTTTTGATGGCTAAAAGTGCAAGGCAGGCATGTAATTCCTAGTGTAGTGTGTGGAACCCACCCTGTGCAGGGCCAGGGACACAATAAATATCAACCTCTTGTTTTTAGGCTCAAGAGTTCAGTATTTAGTTACAGCTGATGCTGGGCTGCAGTCACTTGGTGATTTGCTCAGCACGGGACGTTTGAAGCTGAAGAGCTGACCATGCAAGCACAACAGAGAAACACCCTTCCTGCTAAACTCCAGAGGATGTCTGGATTAAATCCCTCTCCATACAGATGGAAAGTTTCTATGAGTGTGAGCAAAGAGCAGCAGAGACACAATTTGCTGAGGTTCACCCCCAGATTCCTGCAGTTTGACACGTGACGTTGGCAGTGACGAGGCTCAGCTTTCGATGCTTCAGGCTCGGAGGTTTTGTGAGAAATCTTGCTCCAGTCATTCATTCTTTCCATGTGCCATCACTCCTGTGATTCCCCTGGGGAGTGAGATCCTCTCCCCACCATCTCCTGGCCCCATTCCTTGTGGCTGGACTCCTGGAGGCCACGGCCCTTCGTCTCGATGGGCAGGAAGCAGGAGGCCAGGGCGGCCAGGAGGCAGCAGCCGCTGTAAACCACCAGGGTCAGGTACACTGAGGATTCCAACATCACCTGCAGGAAACAGGCAGGAGAGGAACACAGGACCTCAGCAGGGAAAGAAATATGGATACCGATGTAGTAGTAGAAATTTTAATTACAACATTGGAAAAAAGATTAACAGCCAATAAAAAGGAAGGAGGGGGGCAGATAGCAGTAGGACAAGGGATAATGATTTAAACTCTCAGAGGGCGGGGTGAGATGGGATATTGGGAAGAAATTCTTCCCTGTGAGGGTAGTGAGGCCCTGGCACAGGTTGCCCAGAGCAGCTGTGGCTGCCCCATCCCTGGAAGTGTTCAAGGCCAGGTTGGTGGAAAGAAAAGCAGGTCTGGTGGCAAGAAAATCTGGTCTGGTGGGAAAAAAAGCAGGTTCTCTGTGACCTTCACAGAATTACGGAATTGTTAAAGTTGGAAGAGACTTCCCAGATCATTGAGTCCAACCTTCCTCCAGCCTCAGAGTAAAAGGGATTTTACCTGTGCAATGAAGGGGGTTATGAGGGCTCCCACTCTTGCCATTCCACTGCATGTTCCCAGGCCCAAAGCACGTGTGGCTGTGGGATAAACCTGGGGAGAAAACATCAGCCCATTAACGCCAGTAGGAAGTTCTCTTCCTTTCACTCCTAAATCAATGGAAATGAATAAGTGCTGCCACAGCAGGTTCTGCTAGACAATGACAATGAGATCTACAACTCAAATCTTGGCTGGAGTCCATTGTGAACAGGTCATCAAAATTACTTTCCCCCCTATGTTCTCACTCCTCTTAAATATTCTCATCACAAAAACAACCCCCTTACCTCAGGAGTGTAAACATAAGCAGCCTGAAATCCTCCTGAAATAAAGGCTCTTGCAATGAAGAGCAGCACAGTCAGAACATTCCTGGGAGAAGAAAGAGGAGAGCAGAGTTTGGTAAAATCTGCTGGGAGTTCACTTGCAGACAAGTGCAATAAAGATGCTAAATTTATTAGAACCATTTCTTTTGGCTTTTTTTATGAACCCTTTGCATTTTTTCTGGACCTTTTAATACAACAATGATGGCAAAGAATCTGCATTCCCACAATCCCATGAATTTTCTAAATTTCTAACTGAGAGCTGGGGCCTACTGAAATAAAAATGACGCCCATGAGAAGGAAATGAGAGTCCACCTTTCCTGTTTAAAAGACATGAACCAAATTACCACCTGGATGTGTGCAATTTTATAAGGCTTCTTATTACAAGGTTTCTGTGAGATTTTGGAAAGTGCCTGGAAGGGTTTAAATTTAAAAGTGCCCAATGGTTACATCCTACCCAGACTTAACCTCTTATTTTTCCCTTTGGATTGCTCTGTCCACAAGATTATAGTAAAGGATTTCTTCTCTCCTGCTTCTTCTACTTTCCTTACAAACTCTGGTGAGAAAACCCAAACCCAGCCTTAATCCTCTCTCCAGCTGAGCACGACCATCCCATGGCTTTTCAAACCACCACTTTCAGTTCTCCTGCCTCAATCAAGAGAGAACATGGATCAAATTGATATTCCAGTTGTTCCCTGTGTTGTACCCACCTTCCAACACAGAGGAACAGCAGGAGGCTGCAAAATGAGAACACAAGGAAGGACAGGGCCATGGTTTTCTTGCGGCCAATCCGGTCGATGATCCAGAGTGTCACCAACACCCCTGTGGAAGAGACCAGGGCAGTGTTGGGAACTGAGCAAAGGGGGAGGATGGAACAGTTTTTAACAGTCAGGGTTGTTCAGATTTGAGATTTTGGCCTCTCTTTCAAATACTTTGCTGCTGTAGGAGTGAACAATCCACTCTGCCATCCCTTAACCACTGATTAATCCAGTGGTTCCTCAGGTGAAAGCCAGAAATGCCTGACTATGGCTCACTGGAGTAACTTCTGACCATTATTCCCTGCTCATCTTCCCATTGCTGCACCTAAGGGCTCTTCAGAAGTTGGTATTTTCTTTCCATTCTGTTATTTAGATGGCATTAGGACAGTCAGACCAGTTCCATTTCTGGTCCCAAAGCCCCCTCCCATCACCCTGAGCAGGGAAGAACTGGTGCTTCCTATTGCCACTTACCAGGGAATTCTGACAGGGTTGTCCAGAGCAGGTCTGTGTAATCCTCCTCTGTCAGATACTCACAGGTCAGGCTGCATTTTGCTTTAACTTCCTGCCTTCTGCTGGATACTGGGGGAGGAAAAAGGGAAAAAAAAGTCAAATATTTCATGTATTATAAGTAGTCTCTGTTTACACTCCTGGTGTGTGTTTATCATTCTGACTGCTGAAGTTTAGGAAGGCCTGCACTGAAAGGACTGGCATTGATTCACTGTACCCACCACCCTTTAAAAATACTTCTGGAAATTCATCTATGGATAGAAATGAAAGTGACTCTGCCTCTTGGATTTAATTGTTTTTCCTCCTCTGAATGCCTAATGTGTTGCTTGGATGGAATCCACAGTCAGAGGGGCCATTCCAGAGCAATTCCAGGTGATTTTACCTGGAAGGCAGAGCTGACACTGAGCAGTTTATAATGTTTTCTGTGGCAGGTTTCACACCACTCTCACAATGAAAACTTCCACCTCCTTATCACCTGCACAGCCTTAGTTATTTTTCACTCCAGGGCTCAGGACAGAATTAACCTCAGAAATTCAGTTTCTTCCCACATAAACTGGGATACCAACACTTCCTATGCTCTGAGAACACTGAATAATCTCATGTCCTTGTAAAGCCCAGTGTTTCCAAGGGCTGCATCCTCCTCTGGGGAGGAAACCAGATTTAGACCCCTCAAATCCCTGATCACTGCTGTGCAACTCTGGGATCTGGGTCTGCTCCCAACACTCCCCCTCCTCTTTCTGTGATTTTCCAACTTCCAGGCAGTTTTCCCTAATCACAAGTGTTCTGAACACAATCATCCCTCCCCTGGGGAGTCAGACTTTTCAAACCTCTTCTTAACGCTGTCAAAGCACCTTTTTTTTCCTCCCTCCAAAAATCTGCCACAAAAAGGACGATGATTTCCTCCCATTATCTTTTTTTCTCAGCAGGTTTTCCCATCTGGAGAACCCAGGAGCTCCAGAGCAGCAGTTTCTCTCTCTCAGAACTAATTAGCTCTGTCAGATCTGCAAACTTATATTTATTCAACCACTTTTTTTCCTCAAGAAGAACAGATAACAGGTCTCCCTTGAAGGTTGTCTTGCTGTTTTACACTTTGGATTCAAAACCACTGCAGGATCTCTCTACCCTGTGCAGGAGACGAGGAACAGTCTATAAAAATGTTTAAAATAAACTTAAAACTCAGCCACATTCCTTCCCAAACCAACAGCAGAAGGTGATCTAATAAAAGATATTCCACCAATTTTAACAGGGTATATTTAAGAAGAAAATATGGATTAGTACTCACTGCTGCAAACATCTCCTGCTTGGAAGAACTCCGTAGTTAATAAAACTAACCCATAATATGAAAAGGCATTGGAAAACCTGCAAGGAAGCAAATGAGAGAGGAATTCTCAACTAGTCAAACTGAGATTAAACAACATGAATCAAAACTGAACCCACTGTGGGAGGAGATGCACTAAGTGCTACCTCAAAGCTATTTCCTACCAGCATTTAGCAATTAAAGAGCAATTTAATTGGGAATGAGGGTGATTGGGTGGTTTAATGAATTACAAATCAATACATGTTGGGGTTTTGGGGTTTGTTGGGGTTTTTTTGAGGAGGAAGTTGCTGTATTTGAGTAACACTGTAAAATACCTTCAATAAAAAGCACTTAGAGTTGTGCTGGCACTGAAGCTTTGTGTTCCCTCTTACCATATAAACCAGAGCAACAACGTGGTCCATCTGAAATGGGGGGTGAAGAGGTCCTTCATTTTTCCTCGGTCTTCCTGTTGAAAACAGCAGAAATCAGATGATCAGGGAACTCAGGGGTCCTGGGCTGGAGGATGCAGAGTGGCAAGAATCCCAAACTCCCAGAATGGGTTGGGTTGGAAGGGACCTTGAAGATCACCCAGTCCCACCCCTGCCAAAGACAGTTGAAGTGTCAAAGTCCATCTTGTCTCATGAATTCAGATCTGGGAATTCCCATCTGAACTCTTCAGCCTGAGGGCTCGATTTTCTTTAATAACAAGGCCTTGGAGTGAGGTTAAATAACACTAATGCCCACTTTAAAGGTGCTTTTCACTTTCAAACTGAGAAATTAACTCTTCCTCACTGTGAAAGAGGAAGCATATGATCATCCTGTATTTTTTATTACTAGTTGAGGCATTAAAATCAAACAGAACATTGATTATTTGCTAATAAACCACACATCACCTTGGCACAGTTCCACTGTATCCCACATTTTTGAGGTGCCTGGACTTACCTGTCTGGAAATGACCAGTTTTCCCAGAGGCATTGGAGCTCCATTTTCTGTTGCTATCCTCTTCAAAGTGGCAAGTGCTTTCTCCTGGTTCCCAGACAACACATCATACCTGGCACTCTCTGGCAGCCACTGAGGGAGCAAAGCAGGTCACACCCACAGGGATGTCACAAACAGCAAGAAACATGCTGGGATTTTCCTTGGGGGAAATCCCAGTGACTCCAGCACAAGGAAGGATTACAGAACTAATCTTTAAGAATTCAGAGAATCATCTCATCATTTAAAAATGACAACCCCCCATTTTCCCCATAAACTCAGAACTCCAGAAATCTTTCCCTTCAGTTCCCTTGTGTTTATCCTTGAGAAATGTTGGACATTTGTGCCAGTTCTTTCCATTACCCCTTCCCTGTAGGTATGGCAAAGCATCCAGAGCAAAAAACATTCCAAAATTCATATTTTTAAGCTCCTTTTAATTTCAAACAAGGTTGGGAACACCTGTATAACTGGAGGGATTCCTGAAAAACTAAGGAATAATAAAAGCTGCTAAACCACCTGACAAGCACATTTATCTATAAGGAGATTGAGTGATTGGCAAATATATCACCTAATAAATAATAAAATATATCACTGAAGCTCAGGGTTAAATCATATACATCTTATTTTGGAATCTGATCTGGACTCTGCAGAGTTTACCCCTGATTTGGGTGAATTTTTAAGTGGAAAGTGATTCTAAAATCTAAAGAGCATCTGGGAAGTATCAACCACTTTTGATAAAATGTTGATTCCCCTGAGCTGGGTTGAAAGAAAGTCATTAAATTGGAGAGGGTTCCAGGCCTGATTTCCCAAAATTCCAGCCCACCATTGTCCTCCAGCAATTAGAGACACACAAACACAGCTTTCCCTGGAATGGTTTTAGTAGCACCCTGTGGAAACAGCATTTTTGCATTACTGCAGATATTTCACAGAAGACACCAACAGAGAGCTCAAAGCTGCTGTGATTTCCTTCAGCTGGGTCACAGAATGGGGAGGAGAAGTGGGAATGGAGGGAACACATATTAATCCTTGGAGGAAATACCTACAAAGCACAGGCCAGCGAAGAGCAGGAGTGGGAGGGCAGAGAGGATGAGGAGCCAGCGCCAGCCCAGTGTGGGCATCACCAGCACTGCCAGGAGCACCTCAAACACAGTCCCAAGGGCCCAGAAAACCTGGGGAAGGGAAAAGAAACAGTCATAGGTGAGGATATGAGTGTTCCTAAGGTCTCCTTCTTTGCAGCATTCCAGGATGTGCTCTCCAGGGATGGCTGGAGGGAGAAACACCAGAGACATTTCAGGTCTGTACCTGTGTGGGAATAGAGCCCAGACACTTTAGGGAGATTTGTTTAAAGGTTATAGGGGTAAAAATGTTCATTTCCCAGCCTTCCAGTGCCTAGAGGGGGCTTACAGGAAGGCAGGGTATGGACTTTTCACAAGGGCCTGGAATGAGAGGACAAAGGGGATGACTTTAGGCTGAAGGAAGGGAGATTTAGATGGGATATTGGGAAGAAATTCCTCCCTGTGAGAGTGGTGAGGCCCTGGCACAGGTTGCCCAGAGAAGCTGTGGCTGGCCCATTCCTGGAAGAAGCGATGCAGCCAAGTAACAGTTCTGGCCCTGACCTTCCAACCATCCATCAAAGGGCTGTGAATTTTGCCTTAAAATATTCATAGGGTGAAATTCTGCTGTGACTTTGACACATTTGGATGAAGACGTGGAGCTGAATTTAGCCCTGGATTTATGGACCAGTCACTCCTCCAAATCCATTACTGAGCTGTAGATGAATTTCACCATGGAATTACAGACACCCAGTGTCCCCCTCTGTGCTCAGAGCAGTCAGTCTGCATCCCTGGATGGAAGTTAATTTGCAAAAAGGCAAATTCAACACAAAGAGTGGAGTGTGATGTGGAAACTTTCTGTCTTTTGGATATGAGCTGGTACTGGATAACTCAGCTCCACACTGACGTGGACAGGCAAGGTCTGACTGCAGCTCTGGGGGGGATTTCCAGGCAAGAGGTTGGAAGGGATGTAAAAAACAGTAGGATTTGTCCCTCCAAGGATCAGCACACACTGCTCACCTCTATTAATAAAATGCACTTTGCTCTGGCTTTCATTGGAAGGAACTCAGCATATAAAGTTACCCTGCAAAGAGAGAACAGAGAGAAAATGTCATGTTAGCACAGTGAGAAAAATGCCACATCAGCACAAAGACAGAAGTTCAAACATTCCCTTTGGCTTTTAATTAAACTGCCAAACCCAGAGGAGTAACTCAAACCCCTTCCTGTCCCCCAGAGCCAGTCAGGCTGACACTGGGGCAGACTCCCCTTTCTACAACAAAACCAACCCTTCACCATTGCAACAGAGGACACAATTTGCTCTTCTCATGTGATTTTGTGACCCCATAGTTGTTGTCTAAATGATGTTTTCACAGCCCTGCTCTGGGCCAGGCCCTGTATCTGTTATTTCCAGTGTGGTCCATCAGAATCCAACACAAACTCTTGCTGGGGAAAGTTTTTCTTCAGAGCTTTACAACTGGCTCAGAGAATTTCACATCAGTCTCCTCTGCCAGGGTTCAATTCTACAAGAGGGGAAGACTTTCAAGGTCTGATCATGTTACTGGTATAAAATAATTTGCATTCTTTTATTGTGGGATTCCAAAAGAAATCACTGAGCTCTGCAGAGGCTTTGTTCCATGACTGTGCCAAAGGGAGATGGCACAGCTTCTCTGGGAGTGTTTCCTGGGGATGAAGGCAGGGCCAGCAGCCAGTCAAGGCTCCCTCATCTTCTTCAAACTGTCTGCTCAGGCTTGTCTTTGCTGCTTTGCTCCCGCTCTGTTTGCATTCCATTGACTCAGCCTGTTTCTGCCTCTAAACTCTTCAGGCTTCCTTTGAGGTTTGTGTCAAAATTCCTACTAACTTAAGGAACAGTGGATTGATTTATGAGGAGCTGCCCGGGAAGCAAAGTACGAAGTCATTGAAGTACAAAGTTACACAACATTATATCAAAGGAGGGATTTAGAGGAGAAGGAAAATCACATCTTGAAATGTAGGAGCTGGTAAGTGACCCCAACGTAAGGACATGGAATTGTTGGAGCAAGTCCAGGGGGGGCCACGAGGCTGATAAGAGGACTGGAGCACCTTTCCTATGGAGACAGGCTGGGAGAGCTGGGGCTGTTCAACCTGGAGAAGAGAGGGTTGTGTGGAGACCTCAGAGCACCTTCCAGTGTCTGAAGGGGCTCCACGAGAGCTGTAGAGGGACTGTTCATCAGGAACTGCAGTGACAGGACAAGGGGGAATGGGTTCAGACTTTTTAGGTGAGATATAGGGAAGAAATTCCTCCCTGTGAGGGTGGTGAGGCCCTGGCACAGGCTGCCCAGAGAAACTGTGGCTGCCCCATCCCTGCAAGTGTCCAAGGCCAGGTTGGACAGGGCTTTGAGCAACCTGGGCTAGTGGAAGGTGTCCCTGCCCATGGCAGGGGAGTGGGACTGGATAAGCTTTAAGATCCCTTCCAACCCAAACCCTCCTATTCCATAATGCTGTACAGAACTGTTTTCCTAAGAGAATACTCCACATCCCTGAACACTCCACACCCTTGCAGCTCTGGATGTCGGCTCTGTGAATGAACTTTCATATTCAGCATTAGACAGCATCTCACAGACAATTCCCAGAGGAGGCCAGAGCTTCAGGTGCAGCTCTGTGTCTACACGTGGACAGAGGGATATGTGCCACAGTCAGTTAATGGATTAGTGCTGGAGGTTTTTGTTTTAAAGGCACCTTTCAGAACAATCTCTCTCTCGTAGCCATTAGAGAATACGCAATTACAAAGATATTCCATTCAGCCACTCACCTGTGGAGTTACACAGCCTGCTTAAGGATATTAGAAAGGAGCTACTCTTCCTACTTTGTGAAGAAGTCAATGAGCCATCAATCAAAGATAGATTCTGACTACTCCCAAATAGCACCTCCACAAGGCAAAATATCAATTATTGATAAGGACAAAAGGCAGAGAGAGAATGGCTGAACTCTTCTCTTTACATTCATAATTAAAAGCCTAGAGCAGAGTTAGTTGTTCCAGGTGGGAGATTTATGGATCCCTCTCTTCCGTGAGTGGAACGACACAGCAATAGAGAAATATCCTGGTGCTGCCTTTTTCCTCTGAGCCATCACAGCACCTTCAGTGCTCCAGGTTGGGGCTGAGTGGGTTTGGCTGAATGCTGGTGTTTAGGTCATGACCCGTCTTGCAACAAGACCAAGGCTGGGGTCAGCTGAACAGAAACAACACTTCAATTGGACATAAACATTTTATAAAAAATGAATAGAAAAAAGGAATTTGGACTTGTGAATATTTACTTACGACTGAGGCACTCCTCCAATCCCAAATCCCACCAGGCCCCTCAGCACCAGGATCCAGCTGTACACGGGAGCAAACCCACTGAGGATCCCGTAGTAGAGTGTCCACAACACGCTGATCTTCAGGCCCTGCATTGAACAGGAGTTAAAAAAGAGTTTCTGCTGTAACACAAATTAACTAAGTACAAAACAGAGCTAAAAATTCCCTTTATTTCATGGGAGGTCAGTTCTGGATGTGCTTAGTTCTGCTTTGTGCCCGTGGACTCTGATATTTGTGACCATGGAATCCCAGAATGGGTTGGGTTGGAAAGGACCATGGGCAGGGTCACCTCCCACTAGCCCAGGTTGCTCCAAGCCCTGTCCAACCTGGCCTTGGACGCTTGCAGGGATGGGGCAGCCACAGCTTCTCTGGCCCTGTGCCAGGGCCATCATGCACTGAAACATCCCCACTGCAGAAATACTGGGATAAATTCCAGTAGGAGCTGCAGACTTACTGTTTTTCTCCCATACTGGTCTGAAATGTTTCCCCAGAGGGTGGAGCTGGACATCATTCCCACAAACACCACCTGTGAAACACCAAGAAAAAATTTTCCCCTTAAACACAAGACAAGTGTGTCTTGTGTGACAGCAAAGAGAACAAAACTTCCAGGGAAACCAGAAAATTTCAGCACTAACAACAGAGTGACAAGTCCAGGGGGTCATGGAATGGTTTGAGTTGAAAGGGACCTTAGAGATCATCCAGTTCTCTCTGGCTTGGAGAGAGGAAGCAACAAGGCACCTCTCCAGTCAGCTCTGCCATTAAAATTCCATCCAGTGACAAACCAGTCTGGCACTGGACTGGGCACTCTGGTACACCTGTTTGCTCTCTCATGGCTCCCACTGCGTCTGTGTCCAAGGGAGCTTAAATGTGAGGAGAGAGAAAGATTTTCAAGCAAGACAATCAAAAGTTACCAATCTTTATTTTCAATTAATCTAACAGTTTGAATTTTAGGATGAGCCTGAGTCAACTCATATATTTTCCTGGAAATTACATGAAACTTTGAGCCTGAAACTTCCTCGGTTCTCACTGAGTTTTATCGGTTTTAAAAAAACCTCTCTCATCTTCCAAGCCAAAGGCAATCTGCAAAGGCCATGCTGGGATTTAACTTGGGGATACAAAGCATAATGTCAGGATAACACTGAGAGGAAAAGCCTCAGGGAACACAGGAGCTGTGAGTTGTTTTCCTACCGAGGTGAGCAGAGCCACCTGCCAGCTGGGCAATCGCCACTCACAGTGGAGCTGGGGAGCCAGGATGCTTAAAATCATCATTTCCATGGCATCTGCCATCTGCAGGGGGAAAAGAGAGCAAAATAAACAATTGCCTGACAGTTAGAAGGACATAGGAGTCAATAAATACACCTTGTTGGAATTTCTGTGCCATTCCCACTCTGTGGTGGAGCAAACACAGCAACAGGTTCCCTTTTAAACTCATTCCTGGTTGTTGTGTTGAGTAGCTAATTTCTGATTGTTGTGATCAGTAACTCTGGCACAGGGGATTCAAAGAGCCAAATCCAAAGTTATTGGGGGTGATTCCAAGGAGTCACCCAGGCTCAGTCACTTCCACAGTGCAGATTCCAGGGACGAGCTCTCAGCTCCTTCACACACGGATTCAGTCAGAACTGTTTATTACCTTATAACTTATTCCCTCTCTCCCTTATACCTGGATTTGTATCAAATATGTTGGTAGATCATCTGTAGGCCAAATTCCACAGCTGATTTAGGATCTAAACCGTGGCACATTCCAACCTTTTACATGGATCTGAAACAGCATTTGAAATGGAGAATCAAACTGATTTTTCAAACCGTGATCTACAAGAATTTCAGAGACAAAGAAATCCATTGGTTGTTCATTACCCCCAAATAACAAGTTTGACTCCTTAGAATTCCTTATTTTAGAATTTCAAGTAAAATTCCTTCTTTGCTGTACATTTATCTGTTTGGAAACTCTCTGTCTCCATGATTTGAAATCCCTGAGGTTCTCTGGTGACCGTGCAATTGGTGCTGATCCCAAGTACTTGCCCAGGCTAATCCGGTGATGACAGAGAGCTTCCACTGGAACTTCCCAAATCCAATGGCTTCCACCGCATCTTCCACCATGAAAGTATCTGGAAAGAAAACAATTCCAGTGCAGGAGTGGATTCCTCCCCTAGTCAGAGCCATCCTTTGGGAGAGCCTTTGCTGTGAGTACAACTCCTAATTAACCGGGTAACCTGTTGAGATCTCAAATACATAACTCAGCTGCTTAGTTTTAATACAGTTCCTACTCAGGAAAATCCCTGTGTTCTTCAGGAATGGTGCTAAAATCAAAATAATTCGAATTATTCCTAGAATATTTCAATCCCATAGAGGTAAATCAATGCGGCACCAGCAAATCCAGCACATGTTCAGCCTCTCACTCCTGGGAGTGACTGCTCCAGCCACTGAACTGCAGCTTCTTCTGGGGAGAAATAAGAGCTGTGCAACAGCCCCCAGCAATGCTGGGAGCTGCAGGGAATGTTTTATTGCAGGGAAGGTCAACCTGGAATTATTTAAATCAAGAATTTGTCCAAGACACACATATCTTAAAGCCTATTTCTATTCAGAATGCTGAGGGTTGTTTCCCACACAGTGCCATGGCCTCATTACTTTGTTTCAGCTGAAGATGCTGAGATATCTCAAATTCCTTTGCTCAAGTGCAAAAAAATGAACTGAACAAGAAAAGCACATTTTGATATTTGAGCTGTTCAAGTCTCACAGTTGTAACACTTCCAGCAGTTTAAAAAGGATATTCCCCGCAGAAAAGCTTTGTCTGGCTCAGAGCTGCCCATCCTCACTCAGCAGAGCCCAAACCCACAAACCAAGAGGAAATCAAACAAAATCCAGTGGATAAAACAGAGCAGAGATGTTCATAAATAAGATTAATAACATCCTACCAAATTGTCACCTGCCTTGTGTAAGACAAAGCCAATATTTCTCATCTCTCCCAAACCAGTGCTGCCTCCAGGCAGGGAACAGAGGCTGGGATGCCCATTCCTCCTGTCCCTCTTGTCCTCTAGGAAAGGAGAAGATGGAAACACTGCAGATTCATCTCAGCCTTGAAGGAGAGCCAGGTGTACCTGCTCCAGCAAACCTGGCAATGTTTTGGGAGCAGGATCAGTTCTAAGGCAATTAAGAAATAGTGGTGACCGGATCTACAACTCCTAAAAGGGTCTGGTACTGGGGATACAAAGCCAAGCACATGGAGCATTCACAGAGAATGGGGTGATTAAACCAAGATTTCCAGGTGTAACATTTTTTGCCTATATCATTATTTCCTGCTTTTCTCTGGGGGTCTTTCACTTCTCCAAACCCAGTGTATCCACCTCGGTTAGGTAAAGAGGCCACACCTTTCCCCTGGCAGGAAAACCAGGGACCTACTCACCATCCGTGGGGTTGGCAAATTCCTTTGGCACTGCAGCTCCATCCTCCAGCTCCACAGGTTCTAACTCTGTCCTGACCCCCTCAATCTGCACCTCGTGCTCTCCTGAAATTCCATCCTCATCTGACCTGGAGCTCTCCCCGGTGCGGCGAAACTTCACCACCCTGAAACCAGGAACAAGGATTAACACTTCCATGGGCTGTTCCAGGAGCTGGGCTTGGTTAGTCTGGGGCCCTAAAGATCATCTGGTCATCCCTCTGCCATGGGCAGGGACACCTTCCACTAGACCAGAGCTCCATCCAGCCTGGCCTCAAACATTCCAGGGATGGAGCAGCCACAGCCTGAGTAGGTCCCTCTGTATCCGTCCCTTCCCTCCAGGATGTGACCCCATCACAGAGCTCAGTGTCACCTTGCTGAGGGTGTCCCTGATCCAGCTGGAGTTTCTGCATCCTCCCAACTGTAATTTTGGAGGTGATGGATCCCCACAAAGGCAGAGACTGCTCTGAGAATCACAAATCTGAGCAGAAAACAACCTGCCCCATTCCTCAGTGCAGCAAATCAAAATATACATTTATCACTCAGGAATATATGAAACAAATGGACACAGATGAAGGAAAAAAAACCCCAGGGATATTTTCTGTTCCAGACTTGCAAAATCCTCCACTGCTGGGACATCTCAGGGAGCTGCTGCATTTATTGGCAAGATCTCCCAGCACAAAACACCTGATTACACCTGCACTGGGAGGCACTTTGGAGCATATTCCTGGGTTCTATTTTAAAAAATGGGAAAACCAGTCCAATAAAATAATGTCTGATTCCTTTTCCTGACAAGCTCAAGGCATCCTAACTAAGGATCTGGAAATAACTGGAGTTAGTGGCCATCTCCCAACTTATCAGGAGTGTTATGGGACAGTTTGCTCTGTCATTGACACGAGCTCATGAATATTTAACACAAACTTTAAACATTCATTCCCTGCCTTGCAGAGCCAAGGGTTTATAAATAGGAATATGTTGCAAAAGCACCTGAGAACGGAGCACTGGGAGAAATGGGGTTGGTTTTAAAGGAAACACTTGGCATTGAGTGAAAGGGAAGGAAACCCCGGGGTTAAAGGCACAACGGTTTCATTACTTTTTTTTTTTTTTGTGCCCAGATCCAGCGACCACATCCCAAAGGCAAAGAGTTCCTGGCAAATATCAGCCTTTTCCTTGTGCAGCAGCGTTTGCCTCTCCAGAACCCCTGGGAATGTCGCTGGTCCTCCCCAAAAAGCCCCTTTGCAGGGCAGGTTCTGCTCCGCAGTCGCTCCCGGCAGGAGGAGGAGGATGGGGAGGAAGAGCCTCCACAGCGTTATTTACAGATAAACCCCCTGCAAAGGCGATTCCTACCTTCCCTCTCCCAAAAGCCCTTGGCACTCGCACGGTTTTATCCCACCTCTCCTGATTTTTACCCCCATGCAAAGGAGAAACCCCCCCAAATCGAGGGAATTTATGTAATGAACGGTTCCTGCATCCCTGGGGATGCTGAGCCCGGGCAGCATAGCGGGAAAATGGCCTGTTTCCCGCGGCCTAAGCCCCTTCCCGGCAGAATTCCCGTAAACCCGGCGGGATTCCCGCTGTCCCCGCGGGCGGAGGGGCAGGACCCCCCCGGCTACTCACGGGAGCTGCCGGAGCTGGAACAAATCCTCCTCCATGGCCGGGCGGGGCGGCTGCGCTCATCGCTCCCGCATGGCGGGGTCGGGATCGGGATGAGCGGGATCGGGATGAGCAGCGGGAGCGGGATGCGGGAACGGCAGGAGCGCCGGGAGAGGCGGGATGGGGCTGGACAGCTCCGGCGGGAACGGCCGGGCCGCGCAGCCGCTCGATCGCTCGCTGGACTCGGCTCAGCCGAGCACAGCTGGGCTCAGTTTGGCTCGGCTCGGCTCAGCCGGACTCGGCTGGGCTCATTTCGGTTAGGCTCGGCTCAGCCAGGCACAGCTGGGCTCGGCTTGGCTCGCCTGCGTTGGGCTCAGCTCGGCACAGCACGGCTCGGCTCGGTTTAGGTGGGCAGGGCTTGGCTCGGCTCGGCTCAGCATGGCCCGGGCTCGGTGTGGCACGGCTAAGCTCAGCTCGGCATGGTTTGGCTCGGGCAGGTTCGGCTTGGCTGAGCTCAGCATGGCTCTGCTCCGTTTGGATGGCTCAGCTCAGCTCAGCTTGGTTTGGCTCAGCTGGGCTGGACTGTACTGGGCTCAGGTGAGCATGGCTCGGCTGGGCTGGGCTGGCCTCAGCTTGGCTCGGTTGGGCTCAGCTGGGATCAGTTTGGCTCGGCTGGGCTGGGCTGACCTGGATTTACCATGGCTGAGCTGGGCTGGGCTGAGCTTAGCACGGCCCGACTCGGTTTGGCTCAGCTGGTCTCAGCTCAGCTGGGCCCGGCCCAGCCGCGGTTCCGTGTCCCTGAACAGCCCCAAAGGCTCCATTTAAAGGTGGTCTCAGGGTCCCGCAGGACTGGGGGTGTTTGGGATGCTGGCTCGGGCCATGGAACCCCCTCGGGTCGAAACCCCCGTGGGGTCCAACCCCTCTCCCCCAGCCCGGCCCAGGGCCCCCGCGCCCCTGTCCCCAGGTGCCACCTCCGGGGCTGTCACACCCCCCGGGCTGGGGTGTCCCCGGACGGCCCTTTCCAGGAGGTTTTTCCCGATATCCAACTGAACCTCCCCCGGCGCCACCGGAGCTTTGGCACAGGGCGGTCCCGCCGCTGCCCCGGGACTCTGAGCCCCCTGCTCGGGGGCTGCGGGGCCCGGCGGGGCGGGGCCGTGGCCCGGGACATCGGTACCGGCCCGGGACACCGGAACGGAGCCGTTACATTGATACGGGGCTGTCGCACCAATACAGACCCGGGACACCGGTACGGGCCTGTCACTGCCGGTACCGGCCCGTCATCCCCGGTACGGGCCCGCCAGGCCCTGTGTGGGCCCGTCACGCCTGGTACCGGCCCGTCGGCCCCGGTCCGGGCCCCTCTGCCCGCTGTCCCCCAACCCCGTCCCGGGATCCCCCCGATGCCGCCCGCGACCCTCCCGCCCCCATGCCCGGTCCCCCGCAATAACCGCTCCCCCCCGCGCCGCTTCCGGCGCCGTCGCCACTCGCCCGGTCCGCCCCGCCCGCCGGTCCCCCCCGGTCCGCCCGCCCGCGCGTCTGCGTTCCGGCGCGGCCATGCTGGGGCTCGGCGCGGACGGGCCGGTGCGGCGGCTGCTGCGGGCGGGGGAGGGGGCCAGGTGTGAGGGGAGGGGACAGGAGGGACGGGGGAGGGGGCCAGGGGTGACAGGAGGGGGTCGAGACACCGAGGAGGGGGCCGGGGGGGGTTGGGGTGGTCGGGGCGAGCTCTCGGCCGAGCCGTTCCCTTTTTCCCTTCGCTTCTCCCTTTCCCTTTTCTCTTCCATTTCCCCTATTCCCTTCTCCCCTTCCCTTCTGCCCTTCCTCTCCCCTTTCCTTCTCCCCCTTCCCTTTCTCCCTTCCCTTTCTCTCCTTCCTTTCCCCAGCTTCCCTTTCTCCCCTTTCCTTTCCCCTTACCTTCTTCTCTTCTCCCTTTCCCCCTTCCCTTTTCTCCCTTGTCGCTTTCTCCCTCTGCCCTTCCCCTGTTCCCCTCCCCGGCCGGCCCGTGGCCGTGCCCGTTCCCATGTCCGCGTTCCCGTTTCCAGGCACAGGGTGATGCGGCACTGGGGTGTCGTGGGGGGCGCGGCGGCGGCGCTGGCGGCGGGGCTGTACGTGCTGTGGGGGCCCATGGGCGGCAGGAGACGGCGCCGGAGAGGTACCGGGAATGGGAATGGGGGGACAGGGAATGGGGCAGGGGGGGAGGGGGCGGCACTGGGAATGGGGGGACTGGGAATGGGGCTGCTGAGTCGCTCAACCCGTGTGCTTCTGTCTTCTACACCTCGGCACGGCACCTGTTTCTATTTTCCACTGCCAGAGGGCAGGGTTATAGAATCATAGAATCAGCTGGGTTGGAAGGGACCTTCGAGATCATCGAGTTCAACCCTTGATCCACTACCACTGCGGTTTACTAGACCATGGCACTAAGTGCCACATCCAGTCTCTTTTTAAAAATCTCCAGATGGGATATTGGGAAGACATCCTTCCCTGTGAGGGTGGTGGGGCCCTGGCACAGGTTGTCCAGAGAAGCTGTGGCTGCCCCATCCCTGGAAGTGTCCAAGGCCAGGCTGGAGCAACCTAGTCTCATGGAAGGTGTCCCTGCCTGTGGCAGGGGGTGGGACAGGATTATCTTTAAGTCCCTTCCAACCCAAACCAGTCTGGGATTCTATGAGATAACAAATAAGACTGAAATAATTTAATTTTCACACAATTATAGCACCTAACACAACATTCCTACTGACAGATGGTATGTTTTTCCCAGACTTTATGGTGTAACCGCTCACACTTCTCTTTGCAGGGCTTGTCCCAGGCCTCCTGAACCTGGGAAACACGTGTTTCATGAACTCCCTGCTCCAGGGCTTGTCCTCCTGCCCCTCCTTCATCAGGTGGCTGGAGGAGTTCACAGCCCAGTATAGGACAGAGCAGAGCAAGTCTCAGGAGCACCAACACCTTTCAGTCACTTTACTGCAGCTCCTCAGAGGTACTGGAATGTTTTCTTCTTGTGGTAAACTAAGAATAAAATATTTACCATAAACATTATAATTTTTAGCCTTTTTTCCCAAAGAAAGAAGTTCTTGTGGTTTTATTCCCTGTTTAATTTCCCTCTGTAATTTTGAACCCCTTGGCCAAGCTCAACCACCTTTCACGGAGGGGCAGAATTCTATAAAAAAAGAAATCCTTAGCAAAGAATTTAAGCATTTTTTCCCAAGATTTAAATTTTCCAAAAAATCTGGACTATTAAATGAGATACTTTGGATGATTTTGGATAAGAATATTAAAGCCTCTGAGCTCTGGGTGACTCATTTCAGACTTGTCCCTGTGCTAAATTCATCTCAGACACATCTTCAAAATGACCCATTGGCTCTCCCTGGCTTCTCTCACAGGGGTTTGGTTTAAAGGAAATCCCTTGGAAGTTCTGTCTTGAGATGTTCCTACTAAAATGGTGCCAGTTAAGATGTGCATTGAGCTGCTGTGGGGATGAGGGAGCTTTAACTTGGGGTTTGTGAGCTGTGAAATAGCGATTTCCCCCCGTTTCTGGCTCCCCTGACATCTCTCCATGCCCTGTCCCCAGCTCTGTCCTGCCAGGAGGTGACAGAGGATGATGTCCTGGATGCCAGCTGCCTGCTGGAAGTGCTCAGGATGAACAGGTGGCAGATCTCCTCCTTTGAAGAGCAGGTGAGTCAGGAACATTCCTGGTCTTACCCCTGACCAGGGATAATGGACCTGGAGCTCTGGGACCAGCTGCCCTCGGTGTCAGAGCTGAGTCCTGCTTTAAAAAGGGATGGGAAACAACCACAGGATTGAGGGATGGCATTTTCAGTTTGCTGGGATATTCCTCATGGAAAGCCTGCCTGCTTCCAGACCTCAGGATTACCTTCAGACTTGGAACAGCAGAGACAGGAATATTAAACCAGATTAAACCAGCAGAGATCCAGCCCTACCTTCCCTATGGCTGATGGATCTGTGCTTTGCTTCCAGGGATGGACTCCACTCACATTTTCCAATTTTCTTATTTGTACCATCCAAGATTTCTAACCTTTCCAGGATTTCTATTCTTTGTCAGCGTTTCCAGCCCTGGGTACAGTTGGTCAATGAACTCCATCAATATCTCACTCATAAAATACATTCTGTATTTCCAAGGATAGATTCCAATTAAGCTTTTATTGAATTCAAGGAAAACAAGAATTTGAGCTTAAATTATTTTTTACTTTTCCTCCAAGTGTTTTAGTTTCTTGTGAGTTTATATGGCCCAGAATATCTTTAATACTCTGTGCTGTTACAGAGATTTTTGGCACAACAGGTGCACAATGGGTGTAATTAATATATTTTATATATTTATATATTTATTTATATACTATTATTATTTATTTATATACTATTATTATTTGTTTATATACTATTATTAAATGGTATTATATATATTTATATTATACAACATTATTTAACAATATTTATTATATATTTATATATTTATATTACATTAATAAATACATAAGGTGGGCTCTGAGCTGTGATTTCTCCCTGATTTCTCAGGGTATTTCAGCCCTCCTGGGGTGTGTTCTGAAGTGTTTTGGTTCTCACTGTATTCCCAGGATGCCCATGAGCTGTTCCATGTCCTGACCTCTTCCCTGGAGGATGAACGGGACCGGCAGCCCCGGGTGACCCACCTGTTTGATGTGCAGGCCCTGGAGGTGACTCCTTTCATTCCATCAGCAGGAGCAGTTCCTGGAATCTACCTGGATTCCCAACTGTGCCAAGTGTCTGTTCAGAAGCTCAGGATATTTTTATTATGTTCACAAAGCTGCTCTTTGATAGAAATTAATGCGTATGTCAGGCAATTTAAAGAATTTAAAGAAAATGTCTTTGAATTTACACTGATCCCACTTTCCTGAGGGTTTTGCATCCCTAAATCCACTAAATGTAGGGATTTAAATACCAGCACAGAGCAGGAGTCCGTCTCAGCAGTTACTCTTATAATGAAAAAGGCTTGAAAACTGCAAAATGGACATTTATGGAGGTAAAATTTATCCTCCAGTTCAGTGATAAACTTGATGGAAAGTTTCTATCTCTTTTTGCCTAAAATATATACAAAGATATATAAAATCTCATATTTTAGTGCTCTGAGGCATAGAATTCTGTAGATTAATTATTCATTTTATTAACAGTGTAAATTATAAACTTGTTTTGTGCCAGGTTTTTTTGTTCTTCAAATAAAAAGAGCCACTAAAACTCCCACAGTTGTTCTAATGCCAGAAAAGCCAATTAGGGATGAAATAGAAACACATTTAATTGTTTCTAAGGTTAATGAAATCTTTTTATCTTCCTCTGTAGCAATCAGAAACAACCCCAAAGCAAATAAGCTGCAGAACAAGAGGTAGGATTTTATCTATTCTGGAATATGAATATTCATAGGGGAGTTGCTGAGTTTATTAAGGGAATAATATTAATTGTTCTTTGTCTGTATGGGGCTGAAATACACCTCAGAAATATAAATAAACCCCCATTAATTATTAGCAGCAGGCCAGAACATGCTTTGGAGCAGTTAATTTTGTTACTGTGGGGCAAAAATGTGGAATTAGACTGATGAACACGGATGTATGGAAAATAAAAGGGTAATTGCAACTTTGTGTTGCAGGATCTCTTCCCCCTGTGTCAAACCACTGGAAATCTCAGCATCCTTTCCATGGGAGGCTGACCAGCAACATGGTTTGCAAACACTGTGAGCACCAGGTACAAAACCAGCTGGTTTGATATATATATATTTATTTATTTATTCATTCAGTTTCTATCTATCTGTCTAAAATAATTGAAGGAATAAATATATATAAATATATATATATATATACATGCACATGTATAAAATGTGTGCGTGTGAAAATATCTAATATTTTATATATATGTTTTTATAATATATATTTTTATATATGTATGAAAAGGGACTTAAGTTTTCAGCTGTTTATTGTGTTGTTGGTGAGGAATGAGAATTTATCACTATTTGTCACTAAATATACTGAAGGAAATGAAGTGTGATCCATTTTGTGGGGATAAAAACTATCTCATCAAACAGAATAATAGCTGTTATCTTATATAATTTAATTAATAATTCATAATTAATAATATTACCTGACAATCCACTCCCATTGGTAGTGGTTTAGGACTCACTGTTCATTCAACAACTATTAAGATTGCAAAGGGGAATTAATTTTCAGTCCAGTTATCTGGAATGAGGAGATGGAGATAACCTGGATAAAGAAAAGAAATACAGAAAACAAATCTCATTTATAGTTCAAACTGTAGGAGTTCATTTGTCCTTTTCCTTCTCTAAACCTTGCAAAAAATTTAAAGGAGCGGGAAGAGGCCCAGTAGTGCCTTAGGCCTG